GGAATTCTTTTTCCTTTCATTTTGTTGCATTCCCCCTCCCCCACTCAACACCAAAACCCGATAGTTCCTTTTAACTATTCCATGACTGGTTGAACCAGTCAAATTTGGAATTTATTCCATGCCGATTTGCCTTGATTATTTGATCAAATGTGTTATTAACTCGGTCAGTCCTCACATAATCGAACCGGTCTTAAGACTGATACAAACCAGTTTTTGATCCAAGGCCCACTTTGCAATCACATCCAATGCCATGCCTAACTGAACTTTCAATACTGGCAGTCTGGATTTACAGTCACATCCAAGGCTGTTAGGCATTTTGTAGGCTACTTGATATTTTCTCTGGCTTGCTTTTGTGCTACAATACTTGACATTTCAAAGCCTAGTTGTCTAGCTCTCATGCTCTAATGGTAGGTTCAAGTGTTGATATTTCAAGCAATGAAATAGGAAAATTGCGTGAAGGAGGAATCAACTCGAAGACCTGAAATTCATAAATTTAAGTTATACCACTATGCCATGATAATTACTTGGCACGTACATGGAAAATATATGTACAATTTTATAACGCTGGTTTGGGTATGTATTTGGCTTGTACCCTGATATTTGTGAACTTGAAGCCAAAGCAATGGTGGGTCATTTATAGACAAGGAAATTATGGACAGAGAAATTATAAGATTGAAAGTAAAGTGTAGTATCATAGTCATGATTAGGTTTTATAATGTTGATTGTTGAGCAATTAACAAGCTGTAGCTTTTTTCTTACGAGATATTTGTGGTTTTTTAATCAGTTATACATTTTGGTCATGTTTATATAAAATTCTATTTTCTTATATATGTATATATTTTTAACTTTGTGTCCTGTAATGGTACCAAATTATTTGTTTATTTACTGCCATCAACATTTTTTTTTACCAAAATTCATTCAAATTAAATTGTAGGGTTCTATGAAATATATTTGAATTTTGGTTCAGGTACCCTCTTATGTTTTCTAATAATTGTCTCCCAACTCTCAAATATTCAAAAAAAGATTATTTTTGTCTAGCTTTCTCTCTGGAAGTCGAAGTGGAAGGTTCAGCTATGGATATTCCAGTTTCAAGGGTAAAAGGTCATCAATGGAGGATTTCTTTGAGACCACCATATCAGAGGTCGATGGTCAGATGGTTGCGTTTTTTGGTGTTTTTGATGGTAAGCCTGTTTTATGTTCCCTAAATTGGTTTTTTTATCTTTACCCCATTTCCTCTTTTTTTCTGATTTGGTGTGCAACATAGCCAATTTACAAAGCAATTGTAAGATTTTGATTACTTGGTATGGCATTTAGAATAAAAACTTGTGGTCCTGTTTCGTTTTTATAACTTATGTCTTTTTATTATCTGTGCTGTTGGGTGTTGGTGACATGCTTTTTATCATAGGATCAATCTCGCTAGCATGTGCCTCCATGGTGAGTGTCTCAGCTTTTGTGGCAATTTGACAAACATCTTTCCTGTGCGTTCAACACTGTTTCCATTTTCCATCTCTACTAGATTCATCCTACCCTTTGCTTCTTGGATCTGCCACCTTTGCTTTCTTGATCCATCCATGTTTTCTGTTATTTACATGTAGCTCATTTTCTCGCTGTCCAGCCCTTTTTGTTACATGTGGTTGATTCGGACTCTCTGAAGGCTGAACCAACATAGTCTTTCTCTCTGTCACGTCTCAGCAAGTCCCCGTTCTGTTTTGGCCTCTTCTCTCCTTTGAAGGATCGTCTTATTGTTTGACTTCTGTCCCAGTCTCTGTTGCACTCCTCATGTTTGGTGGCTGCACGTGGCTTCTAGATTGTTCTTGCAGAAACCTCTTTGTTAGAGTTCTTTTGTCTGCTTGGTTTGCTCTGGTTTGACTTTGGTTTGCCTACAACATTGGTTTCTATGCTTTAGTTCTCCATTTTCTGTCTTCAGCAGTCTCAGACACACTCTGACCCTTCCTTCTAGTCTTTCGTCCTGGGTGCACTGCCCCTGTAGATATTTTGTACTGGGATGATGATTGTTGAAACCCAACATCAACTATAGATAGGGTCGATAGGGTCAAAGTAGAGCTAATAAAGACTTGGCAATGGACACTTCTTGAGTTTGGGATTGAGTAAGGCACAGCCCAAATTAGAAAATTATTATTCCAACCATGGTTGGTGGAGTCTATATTATATTTTAAAACGGATTTATTTGTAATAAAGCTTAGTCACGTTTAAATAATGGTTTCTAGTTTTTACTTTCTATATTTCCTCTAATGATTTGTTTTCTTATTTGTTAGGGTTATAATCTAGTACATTTGTATAATTAAGGGAATGCTTCATTTATCTCTGGTCCTTATTCAATATTAATTTCTGATATTGATAAAAATGTTATTTATATTATTTGATTAGATATGTTAAAAATAAGGAAACAAAATCAAAGAGTAGTGTTAATTTGCTTCTTATTCTTTTAGGTCATGGAGGTTCCCGGACTGCAGAATATTTGAAAAATAATCTATTTAAGAATTTGAGTAGCCATCCTGACTTTATCAAAGACACAAAGACTGCTATAGGTATGAACTTCATTGTTGTAAATTTATACATATGTTAAAATTTTCATATCACATTACAGTTGTTTGGTTTGCGCCTGGACAGTGTAAATATTAACATGTTTTCTGTCCAATCATTTGTTTCATTGCAGTAGAAGCATTTAAACAGACAGATATCGACTACCTCAATGAGGAAAAGGGCCATCAAAGAGATGCTGGGTCAACTGCATCAACAGCTATGTTGTTGGGGGACCGAATTGTTGTTGCAAATGTTGGTGATTCCAGAGTAGTTGCAAGTAGAGCTGGTTCAGGTTGATGCCATGTCATTTATGTTTTAGTGAGAATTTGATTTACATTGGGCATAATCCGCATCTTTTTAATATGGTGATGAGTGGAGGGAATATGCAGCATGTTTCCTTTCAATGAAGTGCATTGTCAAACATTGGTTTTGGGTCACTTCAGTTTTCCTAAGTTTCCAATGTTATCCTTTTCAGTAAAATTTCCTTACAAATTGTTTATGCTAGTTGGATAGGCAAAATAGGCTCAAGAAGCAATATATAAATTCCTGTTCCGTTTTTTTTTTCTTGCCTTCTTTTGATGACTTTTTGTTTTAATGTAGCTATTCCTTTGTCTATTGATCACAAGCCCGATAGATCTGATGAACGTCAAAGGATTGAAAAGGCTGGGGGATTTATAATCTGGGCTGGTAAGTTTCTTCCTGTAGGGTTGTACTGTCTTTTTTTTGGGCAGGGGCAGTGGGGGGGCATACTTCACAATAAATTGATAATAAATAAATAGCTTGTACTGTTGCTGGTTGATCCAGGAACATGGAGGGTTGGTGGTGTTCTTGCTGTGTCCCGTGCATTTGGCGACAAACTTCTTAAGCCTTATGTTGTTGCTGACCCTGAAATTCAGGTTGCCTAAATCATAAGCGCATAAACTTTTGATCATCCATTTGGTATTCTGTGTCGTTCTATTTTTTATGCCGGCTAAGTTCCCCTTCTTTTGTTATTTTATGGCTTAGGAGGAAGAAATTGACGGTGTAGATTTTATTATAATTGCTAGTGATGGCCTTTGGAATGTCATATCAAACAAGGTGAGACTATCTTACTCGTTAAAGTTGACCTAAACAAGATAGATTTATTTTTCAATTTGATTTTGTGATTGATTGTGCGTTGCCTTTTCAGGAGGCGGTGTCGTTAGTACAAAATATAACAGATGCAGAAGTGGCATCCAGAGAACTCATAAAAGAAGCTTATGCAAGGGGAAGCTCTGATAACATCACTAGTGTTGTTGTTCGATTTGATATATCCTGATATGCTTGTACTCTTATACTTTAGGTATCTCTCGTTTCTAACAACTGAAATTCTGACCGTAGAAATCATAAATGGGTGTGAATGTGTACTATCTTGTTTTCTAACGAATTGCTTTATTAATTATTTTCATCATGATCTTGCTACTCCCTAATTTATTTTGGTCTTCTATAAATCTTAGTTATAAGGTAGTAGATCATCCACTTAATGTTAACTCAATCTAAAAGATTGCTTAGAAAGTTAAGGTTTCTCTTCACTTAAATTAGTCTCATTTTATCATATTAACTAAAAAAGTACCAATCCCACTTTTTTTTCGTTTATATATCTAAGAATAAAAGTTATTTATTATATTAACTATAAAAGTACATAATTATATGAAGACAACTAAGGAGCAAAATAATAATATTCAGGTCACTTAATTAACAATTTTTTAAGTGATTCAAATAAAAATATATAAATTTATCATGTACTTAAAATTTAATTAAACATTTATATTTCTGTGCGGGTATGATAAGATGCCTATCTGAATATACTAATCATATAGTAAATTTATACTTACTCCCTTAAATATGATAAAATAAAATAACTATTTTTCACATATAACACCATATACTTGACATATATTTGAGTGTAAGGATATGAAGCACATTTTTTTTCCTTACTATTTGAATTATCGTCAAATTCAAATCCACATGTCCAGAATCAAACACATGTCAAAGGAATTTCTCCCCAAAAAGAAGAAAAATATTGTGAGTTAGGTCATGAATCATGATGATGCCAGCCCGTGAAATCGAAGCCTTCAGCTTGAGTCAAAGAAAAGTGTTATTAGTTATAAGAAACAACTATTTAGGTTCACATTACATAAATCAAAATGATTACCAATTTGTTTATTTTATGGAACGGGAAAGAAGGCAGTAAGACTTTTTTTTTTTATTAATTACTTATTTTTTAAAATTTTAAAATAAAACATTTCAATATAAATCAGGCTACTTTGAAATCAATTTGTAAACTTCATCCAAATTTATTTAAATCTGATCATAAAAATATAAATTTTATTTAAAAAACATATATAAATAATGGTTATGTTAAAAATGTTTTACTGATAAGGAAAAAAAAGAAAAAGACAGAAAACTATAGGAAGGACAAGTAAAAGAAAAGTCCAAAGTGTCTTCCTCCGAATGCGTGTGTTTCTCTGAAGTTTCGTGTTTCTGAGTCTGTTTCTCCACTTTCCTTCCACCCATCTTCCTTTACTTTAAGATTCTCAATATCTTGTAATCATAACAATCCAAAACCATCTTCCTCTTACTCCCTTCACTTCCACACTCTCCTCTGTTCCTTCTTCCACCATCTCAATGGCCTCTCACCCAAACCAAACAGGTTCTCCCTCTCTCTCTCTCTTTCTATATTTCTTCACTCTTCTAAATTTTTCATTTTTCGATCACCCTTTTGCTTGTATCAGGAACGGGAGCTGACGGGCAAGGAGAAAAGGACCCCCCATCGCCGATCCCAGCATCAGCCTTTCAGAATCCACTTTCTGAGATATCGCCGTCACCGTCGCCGTCTCCGTCCTCATCGACAGCTCCGGCGCTGGTGCTTTCGAACTCGGGGAAGCGCATCGACCAGACGGGGAGGAAGAAGTACGTGAAGCAAGTGACGGGGCGGCATAACGACACGGAGCTGCACCTGGCGGCACAGAGGGGCGACGTCGGCGCCGTGAGACAGATCCTTCTCGACGTCGAATCTCAGGTTATGGGAACTCTCGGCGACGGCGACGACGACGATCTCGACATCGAGATTGCGGAAGTGCGAGCTTGCCTCGTCAACGAAGAGAACGAGCTCGGTGAGACCCCTTTGTTCACTGCAGCTGAAAAGGGTCATCTCCATGTCGTGAAGGAGCTTCTCAACCATTCCACTGCTCAGACTGTTTCCAAGAAGAACCGATCGGGATTTGATCCCTTGCATATTGCAGCTAGTAAAGGCCACCACTGTATGTAGTATCTCTCTTTTAGGGTTTCGAGGATGTCTTTGGCAGAGGGGAAGGTTGTTTTGAAGGTGATTGGGAAATTGTGCGAGGAGAGGAAGGAGTTGATGGTGGAAACTACCGTTTGCTGGAACTGGCGGTCTTTGTAGAAATCGAGAGTGGGGCGTCCGCCGACGCCAACGGATGAGGGGCGGCTGCTGACGTCGGAGTCGCGGGAGGGGTACTGGCGGCGGTGGAAGTCGACTGGAGTGGGTGGCGGTGGAGGAAGGAAAGAGTCCTTGGGTTGGCGTCGCGCGGTAGGTCTCATCCTCCCCAATTTCTGAATAAAATCCTTTCTTCCCTAATTTATTTCCTAATTAACCAACACACGTAAGCACATTTTTTGACACGTAATCAATAAGTACTGCCACATCATCAGCCCACTAACTCCGTTTCTTTCTATTTAACGGAAGGGACTCATTAGACTCAAAAAATTACAAGTAAGGATCCATTGCACTCACATTTCTAGAAAGGGACTAACTTGAGATTTCCGAACCAAAGTGAGGACAAAATTGGGTATTATGCCTTTAAAAAACAAATTGTGAGACGTTATTCTAAGTAATTCACTACAATAATCCGGTTAATTAATTTCTAAAATTTAGAATCGGTTTTAACAGGATGATAATAGGAATGATTACACCAAGAATGAACTCTTACTACAATGTTTAATAGACTTTACTTAGAATTGTTTTGGTACTGATTTAATAAAATTTAAAAATTAAAATTACTTATTATTGAAATCGATTTAATTGATGCTAACTCGTAATTTTTAATTTTTTTTATTTATTTTATACTTAAGTCAATTAAACTAATTCTAATAATAAAATTAATTTAATTTAAAAATTTATTAAGTTAACGTTAAAATGCCTCTAATTTCATCTAATGAAAAAATAACTTTTTTTTTATTTTGAAATACTTATTCATATAATTTTTAATTTTTTTCTTTCTCCCATTTACTATTCTCAATTTATTATTTTTCTTCTAATATTTAAATATTTTTTATCTTTAATTCAATATAAAACATTTATAATTCTTTTATTGTATTTTATTTAACTTTTTCAATATAAAAATCAAATTCACATTTAAATTAATGTTCACGAGTTCTTCTGTTTTAATTAATTTTGATCTAAAAGTATTTAACCAATTTTGACAAACATTAATATAGTCTAATTGTTTTTATCATTTGAATTAGTTTCTTTAAATAAATAAATAATATTATATTTTTCTTATATTATTTTCAAAACTGATAAATGATTTTTTATAAACAAACATTGCTAAAAAAAGAGGTTAATTTTCAATAGATAGTTACCAATGATGAACCACATTTAAATCAATTTATTAACAAATTTATCGATGATACTGGTTTCTTATCGATGAATATATGCATCGGTAATAGTGTAGGTAAGTTACCGGCGAATATATCTGTCGGTAATACAGTCAGTAAAGGTCATTAGTCATTACCGAGAGAATGTGATCATCGGTATGTACATCAAGTATATGAAATCAGAAATTAAGATTTTCCTCTCTAAATTTCAGTTTAGTAAATATCCTTCTTTCCCAATATCGAGAACTTCTCCTCCGTAATCTCTCTCTTTCATTCACTACCCTTTGCCCTAACCACCATTGCGATTCTGTCTTCCATACTCCTCCATTCACTAGTGAAAAAAANGCGTGTGTTTCTCTGAAGTTTCGTGTTTCTGAGTCTGTTTCTCCACTTTCCTTCCACCCATCTTCCTTTCCTTTAAGATTCTCAATATCTTGAAATCATAACAATCCAATGGCCTCTCCTCTGTTCCTTCTTCCACCATCTCAATGGCCTCTCACCCAAACCAAACAGGTTCTCCCTCTCTCTCTCTCTTTCTATATTTCTTCACTCTTCTAAATTTTTCATTTTTCGATCACCCTTTTGCTTGTATCAGGAACGGGAGCTGACGGGCAAGGAGAAAAGGACCCCCCATCGCCGATCCCAGCATCAGCCTTTCAGAATCCACTTTCTGAGATATCGCCGTCACCGTCGCCGTCGCCGTCCTCATCGACAGCTCCGGCGCTGGTGCTTTCGAACTCGGGGAAGCGCATCGACCAGACGGGGAGGAAGAAGTACGTGAAGCAAGTGACGGGGCGGCATAACGACACGGAGCTGCACCTGGCGGCACAGAGGGGCGACGTCGGCGCCGTGAGACAGATCCTTCTCGACGTCGAATCTCAGGTTATGGGAACTCTCGGCGACGGCGACGACGACGATCTCGACATCGAGATTGCGGAAGTGCGAGCTTGCCTCGTCAACGAAGAGAACGAGCTCGGTGAGACCCCTTTGTTCACTGCAGCTGAAAAGGGTCATCTCCATGTCGTGAAGGAGCTTCTCAACCATTCCACTGCTCAGACTGTTTCCAAGAAGAACCGATCGGGATTTGATCCCTTGCATATTGCAGCTAGTAAAGGCCACCACTGTATGTAGTATCTCTCTTTCTGGTACTTGTGTTTCTTTGTGCTTTTTTAGTTAGTTATACGAGGAGTTAAGTTATGAACTTATGAACATATGCTCTGCTGCTTGAGGTTTAGGAAAGAGACTATAAAACCTGTAAAGTGAGCAACTCATCCTTGAAAGTGAAGTAATTAATCTAATTCGTTGAACAAACTCTTCGGTTACCCCTAGTTTCTTTAGTTAAAGAGAGTTCTTTGGCAGATGAATGATAATGAGTCTTCTCCACAACAATATTCCTATTGTGTACTAAAGGGTAACAGGGGATTGTTCCGGTGGTGGAGGGATTCTGCCAGATTTCTACTAGCCTTGAAATATGCCATTGGTGGTGATTGTCAATCAGGCGAGGGTTTTGCAGCCTCGAGGTTTTGGTAGCGCCCCCTTATGCGCGAAGTGGCTTTAATATAGGATTGATGGAGTCATGATCATAGCCATTGATTAGAAATTTAGCTGTTGGTATTTGAAGTATATGCATAATGTGTTGAAGTATCAACCTTTGCTTTTCTCATCAGAGACTGAGATTATTTACTTTATTTTTACTTACACTAGAGGAGCGAGATTCAAAGTATAAATGTTTTGGTAGCATTGGGAAAGTTCATTGTGATGATGGACTTCAATTTTTTGGTGTGTAATCTGATGAGATGTTCTTATGTGCCGATGTAGTGCAATGTGTGTTTGGTTTTCTATTCTTCCATGTTATTCATGGTGTATTTTGGTTTGCAGCGATTGTTCAGGTTTTGCTAGATTATGACCCGGGATTGAGCAAAACTATTGGTCCATCCAATTCGACTCCACTTATAACTGCAGCGACAAGAGGACACACGGAAGTGGTGAATGAGCTGCTGTCGAAGGATTGTAGCTTGTTGGAGATTGCTAGATCCAATGGCAAAAATGCTTTGCATTTGGCAGCTCGTCAGGGCCATGTGGAGATTGTGAAAGCCTTGCTCAGTAAAGATCCACAGTTGGCTCGAAGGACTGACAAGAAAGGGCAAACTGCATTGCACATGGCTGTAAAAGGGCAGAGTTGTGACGTGGTAAAGTTACTTCTTGATGCAGATGCTGCCATTGTTATGCTTCCTGACAAATTTGGTAACACAGCATTACATGTGGCAACCAGGAAAAAGCGAGTAGAGGTATGTCAACAGTTTCATAGCATTACAAGCACCATATCAGTATAGATGAGGCCATTTAAATGAAGTTGTTAGAACTGATGGGGGGCTCTCACCAAATGGCTAAATATCTCTTGTTGTATACCTGGGTTACTAAATGCTGCTTTTAACTGTCTAAATGTGATGAGTTTTTATTCAAAAAGGAAACATTATAACTTTTTGAATTTCCAATGTAATGTAATAATGTTTTCTTTCCTAATTTTGGCTTACCACTTATAGATTTTCCATAATATTATATAAATGCAACTAAACATCTAAAAGAAGGTGGTAACTTGGTATGGTTGAACTTACATTTGTCCAGAAGTTTTGATCCTTTTTGTCTTTGAATTTTTCTTTATAAAACCATGCAAATCCCCTGTATATTTTTAATCAGCCGTCTAAGTTCCTCAAATGAAAATCTAATACTATGGTTTCTCAATTCCCTGCACAGATAGTGAATGAGTTATTACATCTGCCAGACACCAATGTTAATGCATTAACCAGAGACCACAAAACAGCTCTTGACATTGTTGAAAGCCTTCCACTCTGTGAAGAGGCATCAGATATTAAAGAATGTCTTTCTCGATACGGAGCACTCAGAGCTAACGAGCTCAACCAACCAAGGGATGAACTGAGGAAAACTGTTACTCAAATCAAGAAAGATGTTCACACGCAACTTGAACAAACCAAGAGAACCAACAAAAATGTTCATAATATTTCCAAAGAGTTAAGGAAGCTTCATAGGGAAGGAATCAACAATGCCACAAACTCAGTAACAGTGGTGGCAGTGTTGTTTGCTACAGTTGCTTTTGCTGCTATATTCACTGTGCCTGGTGGTGATAACAATGATGGCTCAGCGGTGGTAGCAGCTTATGCTGCTTTTAAAATCTTCTTCATCTTTAATGCTATTGCACTTTTTACATCTTTGGCCGTGGTGGTTGTTCAAATCACCTTGGTTAGAGGTGAAACAAAAGCAGAGAAAAGGGTGGTGGAGGTCATCAACAAGCTCATGTGGCTGGCTTCTGTTTGCACTTCAGTGGCATTTATTGCTTCTTCTTACATAGTTGTGGGTAGGAAGAATAGGTGGGCTGCTATTCTTGTTACATTAGTAGGAGGGGTGATAATTTCTGGAGTTATTGGCACCATGACTTTCTATGTAGTGAGATCTAAGAGAAGCAGGTCAATGAGGAAGAAGGAGAAGCAGCTAGCCAGGAGGAGTGGATCTAACTCATGGCATCATTCTGAATTCTCCAACTCTGAGGTTGATCGGATTTATGCTATTTGATCTTGAACTTGCAACCTACAAAGGGGATCATGAAGAACAAATTGTTGCAAAATGGATGCAGGTGTTTAGAGTTTCCCCATTCTACCACTTAAGAGTTCACTGTACAGGAAATTGTTCTCTCAGACTTCTGCAGCTAATGCTGCTGTTGCTGCTGCTGGTTTTCTAGGAGGATCATGAGGAATTAGAATGAAGCTCTCATCATCATTGTAACTATTAAATGATGCACTGCAGGGCGAATGTAAGCACCTGTGTCTTAATCCCAGGTTGTGATTTGCTAGGAAAATAAATTGAACATTGCTTTAACTTTCACTTTATGTATTGTTGTATTATCAAAATATACCTGCCAATCCTGTTCATTACTGAGTATTTTGTTACAATTTTCTTGAGGCCTAATCATTACAACTACCTAGATTACATACTGGACCCTTCATACATGCATCATGTGCAGTGCTCATACAGAATGAAATAGTACTATACCTGTTAATTGTATTTTTATTTTTATTTTTATTTTTGATGAATTTGTGAGGTGAAAACGAGGTTTGCAATTTGCTGATAAGGGTATGATTGAGTTTGTAATGAAGGTTTTGCTTTTGTTCTCTGATTGACCATCTGCTCTNTCTGCTGCTTGAGGTTTAGGAAAGAGACTATAAAACCTGTAAAGTGAGCAACTCATCCTTGAAAGTGAAGTAATTAATCTAATTCGTTGAACAAACTCTTCGGTTACCCCTAGTTTCTTTAGTTAAAGAGAGTTCTTTGGCAGATGAATGATAATGAGTCTTCTCCACAACAATATTCCTATTGTGTACTAAAGGGTAACAGGGGATTGTTCCGGTGGTGGAGGGATTCTGCCAGATTTCTACTAGCCTTGAAATATGCCATTGGTGGTGATTGTCAATCAGGCGAGGGTTTTGCAGCCTCGAGGTTTTGGTAGCGCCCCCTTATGCGCGAAGTGGCTTTAATATAGGATTGATGGAGTCATGATCATAGCCATTGATTAGAAATTTAGCTGTTGGTATTTGAAGTATATGCATAATGTGTTGAAGTATCAACCTTTGCTTTTCTCATCAGAGACTGAGATTATTTACTTTATTTTTACTTACACTAGAGGAGCGAGAATAAAAGTATAAATGTTTTGGTAGCATTGGGAAAGTTCATTGTGATGATGGACTTCAATTTTTTGGTGTGTAATCTGATGAGATGTTCTTATGTGCAGATGTAGTGCAATGTGTGTTTGGTTTTCTATTCTTCCATGTTATTCATGGTGTATTTTGGTTTGCAGCGATTGTTCAGGTTTTGCTAGATTATGACCCGGGATTGAGCAAAACTATTGGTCCATCCAATTCGACTCCACTTATAACTGCAGCGACAAGAGGACACACGGAAGTGGTGAATGAGCTGCTGTCGAAGGATTGTAGCTTGTTGGAGATTGCTAGATCCAATGGCAAAAATGCTTTGCATTTGGCAGCTCGTCAGGGCCATGTGGAGATTGTGAAAGCCTTGCTCAGTAAAGATCCACAGTTGGCTCGAAGGACTGACAAGAAAGGGCAAACTGCATTGCACATGGCTGTAAAAGGGCAGAGTTGTGACGTGGTAAAGTTACTTCTTGATGCAGATGCTGCCATTGTTATGCTTCCTGACAAATTTGGTAACACAGCATTACATGTGGCAACCAGGAAAAAACGAGTAGAGGTATGTCAACAGTTTCATAGCATTACAAGCACCATATCAGTATAGATGAGGCCATTTAAATGAAGTTGATAGAACTGATGGGGGGCTCTCACCAAATGGCTAAATATCTCTTGTTGTATACCTGGGTTACTAAATGCTGCTTTTAACTGTCTAAATGTGATGAGTTTTTATTCAAAAAGGAAACATTATAACTTTTTGAATTTCCAATGTAATGTAATAATGTTTTCTTTCCTAATTTTGGCTTACCACTTATAGATTTTCCATAATATTATATAAATGCAACTAAACATCTAAATGAAGGTGGTAACTTGGTATGGTTGAACTTACATTTGTCCAGAAGTTTTGATCCTTTTTGTCTTTGAATTTTTCTTTATAAAACCATGCAAATCCCCTGTATATTTTTAATCAGCCGTCTAAGTTCCTCAAATGAAAATCTAATACTATGGTTTCTCAATTCCCTGCACAGATAGTGAATGAGTTATTACATCTGCCAGACACCAATGTTAATGCATTAACCAGAGACCACAAAACAGCTCTTGACATTGTTGAAAGCCTTCCACTCTGTGAAGAGGCATCAGATATTAAAGAATGTCTTTCTCGATACGGAGCACTCAGAGCTAACGAGCTCAACCAACCAAGGGATGAACTGAGGAAAACTGTTACTCAAATCAAGAAAGATGTTCACACGCAACTTGAACAAACCAAGAGAACCAACAAAAATGTTCATAATATTTCCAAAGAGTTAAGGAAGCTTCATAGGGAAGGAATCAACAATGCCACAAACTCAGTAACAGTGGTGGCAGTGTTGTTTGCTACAGTTGCTTTTGCTGCTATATTCACTGTGCCTGGTGGTGATAACAATGATGGCTCAGCGGTGGTAGCAGCTTATGCTGCTTTTAAAATCTTCTTCATCTTTAATGCTATTGCACTTTTTACATCTTTGGCCGTGGTGGTTGTTCAAATCACCTTGGTTAGAGGTGAAACTAAAGCAGAGAAAAGGGTGGTGGAGGTCATCAACAAGCTCATGTGGCTGGCTTCTGTTTGCACTTCAGTGGCATTTATTGCTTCTTCTTACATAGTTGTGGGTAGGAAGAATAGGTGGGCTGCTATTCTTGTTACATTAGTAGGAGGGGTGATAATTTCTGGAGTTATTGGCACCATGACTTTCTATGTAGTGAGATCTAAGAGAAGCAGGTCAATGAGGAAGAAGGAGAAGCAGCTAGCCAGGAGGAGTGGATCTAACTCATGGCATCATTCTGAATTCTCCAACTCTGAGGTTGATCGGATTTATGCTATTTGATCTTGAACTTGCAACCTACAAAGGGGATCATGAAGAACAAATTGTTGCAAAATGGATGCAGGTGTTTAGAGTTTCCCCATTCTACCACTTAAGAGTTCACTGTACAGGAAATTGTTCTCTCAGACTTCTGCAGCTAATGCTGCTGTTGCTGCTGCTGGTTTTCTAGGAGGATCATGAGGAATTAGAATGAAGCTCTCATCATCATTGTAACTATTAAATGATGCACTGCAGGGCGAATGTAAGCACCTGTGTCTTAATCCCAGGTTGTGATTTGCTAGGAAAATAAATTGAACATTGCTTTAACTTTCACTTTATGTATTGTTGTATTATCAAAATATACCTGCCAATCCTGTTCATTACTGAGTATTTTGTTACAATTTTCTTGAGGCCTAATCATTACAACTACCTAGATTACATACTGGACCCTTCATACATGCATCATGTGCAGTGCTCATACAGAATGAAATAGTACTATACCTGTTAATTGTATTTTTATTTTTATTTTTATTTTTGATGAATTTGTGAGGTGAAAACGAGGTTTGCAATTTGCTGATAAGGGTATGATTGAGTTTGTAATGAAGGTTTTGCTTTTGTTCTCTGATTGACCATCTGCTCTTCTAAAGTGTGGTGTCAGCTTGCAGTTATCCATTTCTAGTAGCGACGTGTAGCAGCCAACTTTGAAAATATTATAGTGGTATACTAAGATGGCCGTTGTTTTCAATATTTATAATAATAAATTAAATAGTTTATGTTGCATAGAATCTCAATTAAAGAATTTTATTATAAAAAATAATTTAATTTACACAGTTGCTACCGATTTAGGAGTAACAAGAACACAGTGATGAAGTAAAAAAAACGAAAAAGGATGGAGCAGCTAGTTTTAAAACAGAACGATAATTAGTCATAATGGATAAAAATGTTTTAAAATATTAAAGTTTTTAAATTTTGAAAGTTCGATATATATTTAGTTATTAAATTTTAAAAATGAATGATATAGTTTTTTTTAATTCAATTATATTAAATTTTTTACGTGAATGTATTTTTTAATAAATATTAAAGTGAGAATATATAAAACGATATAAATAATTTAAATATTAATATTTTTTTAACAAATATTAAAGTAAGAATACATAAAATGATATAAATAACTTAAATATTAAAAAATAGAATATAATTGAATTAAAAATATTATTTTTATTTTTATTTTTATTTTTAAAATTTAAAAACAAAAAATGTGACGAAATTTTAAATAAAGATAAATTCTAATTTTAAGTCAAAAGTTATAAAAAAGAAACATAGTTAACTCTAACAAAAAATAGGATAATGATATTTTGACAATATTTTTTTGACAACATTTTAATATCATCTACATGTCATTTTATGATTGGTCCAAAATTACTCCACAATCAATAATAATAATTATAAATACTAACATGGACCAGTCACAGAATGACACGCAGATGATGTTAAAATGTTGTAAAAAAAATATTGTCAAAAGTATTATTATCCAACAAAATAACACCGAGTTAGGAAATTTTTTAAGAAAAAAATTGATGAACACAAAATAAAGCCTACTCGTGTTTAATAAAGTTGAACAAATCTCGTATTTAATCCCATACATAAGCTTTCATTATTTATAAATTAAATTTATCAAATAATAAAAGTAAGTGAGCAATAGCTTACAGTTTTTTTTTTCTTCTGTTTTTTCAAGTTGTAGCACATGGAAACATTGAAAACCTAACATTTGACAGCTGATAGGACAACAATGGCTGCTACTTTAACATGAAAATCTCTCCAGTGCTCTATTGACTACACTATAATAAGTGATTAACTTCATAAGGGAAGTGTTAGTACAATAGTTAGTTGGTGATCACAAGTTTCGAGTCAAGTAAAAATAAAAATAATAACTTTGTCACCTTTGAAATCGTGAGATCGAATAGGAACACTGAATGTTAAAAGTAGCCTGCCTGAATGATTTATTTATTTTTGAAGAGGAGTAGCGTGGATCTCAATGGAATTTAACAGCATTAAAACCACTGTCTGCACAATAAACACATACAAAATTACACAAAAACGAAAGCAAAAGGAGAATTATGTATTGAAATCTATTTAAGGGAGTGACTTTTCTCAAGAGATGTTACATTACTCTATGCATACAAGCTTTATGATAACTTGTGCTTAGAATATAAGGAGCTGACACAACAAAAATCTATTCAGAATAGGCAAATTTTGAGGACCCAGAATACCAAAGTTGAAAGCAGTTGTCATATATTAAAATTAAAAAAAATAGAGATTCTTGAAGGCATCCACATTATACATAAAATATATTTCATAGCTACAAAGTTGCCAAACATCTGATAACTTAAAGAAATCAGAATAGAACCACCTGAAAAGCTGTTTGTCACCTTGTCTGCACTGAAGGATCCTTTTATACTTCAGGTGTGAATATTTTAACATATTCTTGTACGTATGAAGTTCACTTCCTCCTAACTCTTCTTTTTTCTTCTTTCTCAGTTGCTCTGACAAGCTTTTTGCATTATAATAGAATAAGCTTACTTTAATGGTCAAGAAATTTTCTTCACAGAGAAACTAGAAGCCAGTAAATGTCTTAGAGTAGTAGCCAAGGGACGAAGACATGTGGGCTTCAACAATCATAATGATTGTGACCCTCTTGGTTTCTGATAATAGAATTTAGAAAGGACCTAAGAAACATGTATTTTAATTTTAAAAGACATTTATTTATTACAAAAATTGCAGTATGGCAATCACATTTATTTATTCATTAAAGAAACCTCATAAAATTAATGGAGAATTAGATGATCAAAGCTGACAGATAAGCAATTACAATTCAGTGGCAAATGACATGAAAAGATTGGTGTTCTTTATTTCTTG